AGTAGCACCTAATATAATTTCGGATATAGGATAAAATATAGCCTTGATCACTTCTGCCATTGCTCTCTATCTGTTCGTAGTTTTCAACCGACTTCTAAAAAACGAGGAGGTTCTATTCTATTCGACTATATTTTTTATGTGTGTTTCTCAGAATTTTCATCTAGGTGAACCGATTTGATGTTTTTATTTTATTTGAATGCTGGTGCTTCTCATGTGGTCTCATATAAATTTGATCAAGATATGATCAGTTTTGAGGTATCCTTAATAATGCGTATTTCATTGACTTCGGCTACATTGATGTTCTCATTTTAATTAAATTGAAGTCGGTAACAAAATATTTAATTATACCACTTGTATTACAATTAGTTTAGCCATTCCTAAGGTTAGTCCGGACAGACAAACAAAAATTTTGAAAATGGCAATTCATGTTTTAATGGCATGCTCATAACACCTTTAGTTCAATAAAAGACAGTTATTTGTATATTACAGACATACACTTCATATTTATCTATATGTTTATAGTATTACACATCTAAGAGAATTTTAGTTATATTTAATACTATAAGTATTAAATATAACTAAAATTTATAGTGACCCGTCCTAACCTCTAGGGCATAAGGTTTGTAGGATCTAGGATATGTATAGCATAGATCAGATTATAAATTAAACCATTTAGACCGATAATTATTTTTTGTGAAAATTTTGTGTTTCATTAACAAAAGCTTATCCAAGAACTCCTAAAACCCGAGGGAAAATATTTAAAACAGAGGGCGGGGCTTTATGTATGCAAAAAAGCAAAGACATTTAAATAGGTAGTAGTAATAGACCGGACATCAGTAACAAAATTGTCGTCTGTAACTTTTGTCCTATAGGATCTCCGATTTTTGTCATTTAGTCTAAGTGACATCGTCAAAAGGTCAAGACGCATTCATTTTATAAATTTAAAAATATTTTTAAAGAAAATATGCCCGGTTGTGTGCATTAAAGTATTGTAAATCACGATATGGAGCAAACAATGAACGTGATTTCGGTTTATTATCGTAAGAATAATGTGTATTTACCAAATAACCTTTCAATTTTATTATTTCTAGTAGATTGTTCGAGAAGAAAGAAAAATTATTGTAATAAGTGCCCTCTGTTATCCAGTAACGTCAGTATTTATTTACAAATATGTTAGTGATTAACGATGTGCCTACAACGGATTTTAACCATGCAAGTTTAGATTATAAGCAACATTAATGTTAGAGTAAATTAATGTAAATCTATGTCGAAATAAGGCTGAAGTGATCAAACTGTTTCTTGAATCAGATATATTTTCTAAATACATTCTTCTTCTTATCACTTGGCAATAGCCACTGACTAACAAAATCTCAAATATTTATTCTGAAAATAATAAATAAAACTATTCTATCGGGCTCTTTTCAATACGAGTATGATAAAAAGGTTGCCAAGCAATAGGTTTTAGCTGCAAGTCTCGTTTTCGCCAACTGTACTTCATGACACGTTTTTTAAAGGTTTTTGAAATTCATGATGGGTTTCGTCTTCAGTTTCTAGTTCCTCCGTTGAGATTGAGGCAGTAAGATCTGCTGGAGCTCAAAGCAAACCTTTAGGCCTACCTATATTTATGCTGACGTTATCTTTTTCACCAAGTCCTCGTCAGTCTGGTCATCATTGGCGGTGTCAGGTGGAAGTAAAAAAAAACTTTTGCCTCTGGTTGCTAAAATCATCATCTTCCTCAAGAATTGTAGGAATTTCATGATATCAGTGATAGATAAAAATCATATAATAATATGGATATATTGTGCTCTTACCTTCTTGAAGACATTGTAAATTATTTTTTTCCGTTTCTATCAAGAAATTTTAATATATACTCAAGATAACTTGCATGAAATATGTAAGTATGTTATATTGTTGATATAAAACTAATACTCTGAGTTATTTGTCACAACTCACAACTAACCAAAAAAGTTAATAATTTGTGGGTACATCAAAATATTTTTAAAAATCCTAGAACATGGAAACATTTTTTCTCGTAAGTAATGTTATAGGGCAATCTGTAAGAAATTATATTCACGAAGCTATAATTAACCAATTGCTCGATATTATGAAAATTTTCAATACATAGTATGTACCCCAAAAGAAATTTTACGGAGGGAAAAGAAATCTTACGAATTCGGAAACCTCGCCGACCACGGCACAGGCAGGACCATACGTTCCGATAAGATTTTGACCAACTCTTACCCTATGCAGCTATTACGGGTCGGGGCTTTATCTTGTTGAAAGAATAATTATTGTTGAATCTAGGCCTAATGTAAATTATACATTGAATAAAAATCATTACGTAAATGTTACAGTTTATCAAAATATTATTTACTTTGGATACATTTAAGTGTAGTCAATCTCTATATATTGTAAAAATTATTTGCTGCCCGTTAGTCTCGCTAAAACTCGAAACTGGCTCGACTGATTCTGATTAAATTTTTTCTGTATTTTTGAGTGCGTCCCTGGACGATTTAGATTTACAATTGGACCCGATAGGTGGCGATGTTGTCGAGATCCAGAAATCATCCTGCGAAGCCAGAGCGGATCACTAGTATTCAAAAGAAAATTTAAAATAAAATATTCTGTCCCATACTTTTTGGCCATCTATGCCCAGTTGAATAATTCAGTCTGTATCGTAATTGTAATACGTTAAGAGACAAAATCGTAATCGCGATCATAAACGACGTTAATGAATAAATGAATGACTTGGATGAAGTGAACACACTTCATCTTACAGATTAACTAAAGTCAGCTCTGCTCGCAAGAAATGGTTGCACCATACTGCTAAACAAACCTGAGATAGGGATAGCAACAAGTGTTATTACTACACTACCAGACATGATTTTTTAACGAACATCTATTTATCATAGCTGTTACAGGCAGTCCCTTGTGCAAGTTTTGCATGAGAGAAGAAAAAACGGCGGTCCACATACCACTAGTAGCCACATACAGAATGGTTCATATTACAAATATAATTATATGCTGTGAACTGGGATACTACCCCCGTTGGCAATGTTTGAACTTTTGTAGTATCACAACCAGTGAAACAGTACTTTCAATCAATATCTTAAATTATTAATGTGAAAAAAAAATTGTTTTACCCTAGATAGATAAACTACATCGAATCGACGTAGTTTATCTATCTAAGGTACGAATGTTAGAAAATAGATATCTAGTTTGTTTTTCGTGTCACTGCACTGGCCGTTCCTGCTTACTGCAAACTCAATTCAGTCGGCTATCGGAGCTTGCAAGACGCCCGAATCACTCAGGTAAGTGGAATACTTACGAGTTTCATCAATATTTACCTTTATTTGCTGTACGTTAAACCGACGTATGGATATTTATAGTGTGTGATGTAGAGCATTAATAAGTAGCAGTATAATTAGTTATAATACCAATAACATGTCTCCATGAACACGTTTCCTTCATTACAACTGTCAGTATTTCGATTTTTCAAAAAAAGTGTTTTTGTGACGTGACTCTACAGTTTTATTAATTTTTAATATTTTATAGGCTATGATAAAAAACATAAGGATGTCACAAATTCGTCCAGATGATGAAGAAATCAGTCGGTGTTATATGAAATAAGTGATGAAGAGATTTAGAGGTCGGACAGTGAAACTAAAGACAATTTATTAGAAGATGGCATACAGAGTGTTGCCAAAGACTATGAGATGAGTGATCCACCAGTGAAAACACCATTGACACATATATACATATATGTAACAATCGAAAAACTGTTTTTGGGCTTCTGAGGTTGGTGTCCTTTTCACATTTTCAATGAAATCCAATAAATATTGGCTAAAAATTGTAATGACATGTAACAATGCTACACAATACATGCTTGATGCAATCCTATATCTAGGAAAATGCACTCAAACCAATGGCTGGCTAGTCGATAAAATTTTTACTTAAAAGAAGTTACAAAAGCAGTACATGGCAGTAATAGAATTATCAAATGTAACAATTGGTTCACATCAGTTCCATTGCAAAACAGATGACCCATGGCTATGTTTTATGTTGATGTTGAATATGACATTTATAAACACATATGCACATCATTACTTAATGTGATTTTGTCCTATTCAAGAAGGGAAAACCGTTGGGATGTAGAGACATCATAAAAAAAACTCAGTAATAGCTTAATGACCATCCATCCATCTATGGAAACAAAGCAGCAAAAGGTAACTTCACCAATGAATATAAAAATAATTGGTGGTATATTGCAAAAAGGCAAGTCGAACCTCCCATACAACATGAAGGTAGACCTGAGCCAAATAAAAGAAAATATTGCCTTTTGTCCTACAAAAATGACAAAGACAATGCGCGACAGCTGCCACAATCCCATTTGTGGAAAGCACAAGTACTAATAAGTAAGAAAAAGTAGTATTTACTCAGGTATTTAAATGATACAATAAAAAAATTGATTTAAATTTTTTTTACATAGAAACTTATTAGACTGATTTAGAGATTTCTTAATGTTTAAGTTTAGTAGAGTAAGTTCTTTTTTGCAAAAAAAAAAATAAACCAATATTTTTCAGGTACTCACAACATATTACGAACAAATGACATACCACATTCATAAACCTAGTATATATATAATCCAAAATATACCCACTCATCAATTGCATGTGGAATTAATATATGGTTATCTATTTAGGATTAAAGTACCATTAGCTCTTTATATCATAATTTTGTAATTGCATTCAAAGTTATGTAAAACTTAAAACTATTAAAATTATTTATAGGATGATTGTGGTAATTATTTATGATTAGGACCAATTAAACTGTTACTTTATCTGTGTCAAGATGATTTACCAATAATTTTAAGGTCTTCATATACAATACTTCCTGATTCACATTTTAACTACTGAAATATCAAATGAAGGTAAGAATGATTATGTTTAAGTTATATGACATGTATGAATACATGGTAAAATCACATAATCACTATATACCTTGCCAATCAAAGGTAAATCTACAGCTCCCCAAGTGTCAGCAGCCCAATGCACTACTCCTGAAGCAAAATCTGCTGTCAAAACTCCAGCTATAGCTGCAAATAATAGTGACGCATCTGCTCTGATATATCTAGCCATGAGTATGCCTGCACAAATAGTTAATGTGCAACAAAACACCACACACACCCATTCCTGAAGTCTCTTTCCTGTTTACAAAGAATTCTTATTAATATTGTGTTTATAATGTAATAATGACAGGTTAATTACAGACAGAGGACAAATATACAAGGCATAGACATGTTATACACTTTTCTGTTAACATTATTTCTATTATGTAATACAGGAAATATTTATATGTTCCTCTATCTTAACTAAATTGTTAATTAATAACATGTATCATTAATATTTTCTAATCATATACATTAAAGCCTTGCTAGTCCAGAACCAGTGGGCGTCCAGATTAACAACGCGAGGGAAAATTATCTTTTTAAAGCATTTTGCCAATCATTGTATTTTTTATACATACATAATATGTAATAAACATGGATGAAAATCAACATTACATCTACATGATTGTTTTTTATGAATTATTTAGAAAATCTTTCATAGAATTGTTTTGTGAACTGGATACATTTTTAAGTACTAAATGTTAAATGCCCTGTCCAGACTAGCGTAATCACCAAATTAGGTGGAGTCTGGGTTTACAAGGCTTCACTATACATTTAACTCACCTAATTTTATAGTTAAACTATAAACAAAAAGGTCAAAGTTAAAGTTACAGACTATAAACGTCCTACAGCTGGGCACAAGCCTCTGGGAAATACGGAAATTGTGTATTAAATTAACAACAAATCGCAACTAATTCAAAACTTACCCGGACTGTACAATTCGGCTAGTTCTTGAGCACCTCGATGTCGTGGGCCCCATCTAGGCTGCTTAGCTATTTCACTTGATAACTGTGTATTGGCGTTGGGATCATCCTCAGACATAGAATGCTCGAGAATTTCTCGTTCTGTTTTAACCGGTGCTAATAATGTTGAAGCCATACTACTTGCATATTCAAAACGTTCACAGCTTAAACTGCTTAGACCATCTCTCTTAGCGCAAGGTGGTATTGGTAGAGGAAAAGACATATTATTTTACTAGAATAATTATCAGTGTCAACGCAATACCAATATTTGTAAAAAGTATCTTCAAATTATTTTGTATCCGATTATAGCTTATCGTAGAATCGTAGTCATATTATGCATAGTATAATGTTATTACTATATAACTTAAAGTAACTGAGATGACAACTTATTGAAGCAGGTAGGTATTTGTGCTTGTTTAAAAATGTAAGACTAATAACGACAGCTACACCACACACCAGCAAATCCAACAAAAGAAAATAAGAACACCGAAAAGAAATAACTTTTGACAACTGTCAACTGTCATATTTATTGACCAAAGACTACATACAATGGGTGCGTTTGGCAGAAAAAAGCGCTAGCAAGCGCTTGTAAACAAAATGGCGATCGTAAGCGGTAAGCGCTGTCAAATCGTAAGTAGCTATTTTCCTCTAGGACACGAAGTTAGTTTTAACCGGGGAACCTAACCTAATTTAAATATATGTTTGTAAAGTATTCATATTAAAAATTTACCAATCATGAATTTTTAATAACATGTACCTAAGTATATGTTTATTCATGTCATTATATTACTTAAAACTAATATTTTACAAAATAACTTATAAACTTTACTTCAAAACAAACAAATTAAATAAGCAAAATTGCGGATTGTGTCAGCGCTACTGAAGTTAGCAAACGTGTTCTGGCCGAAAACTGTTTAGGTTCGCCATTTTGCTTACAAGCGCTTGCTAGCGCTTTTTTCTGCCAAACGCACCCAATGGGTATGTTCCGAAATACAACGCAGTGTACTGTCCAATGCAAATGACGTATCATTTGACACTTTATTGTACTACCGTGCCGCCGCCATATTGTGTCGGATATCCGGCCATAATAAAACAATTTTTAATTGTGTGTTTGCCGAATGAAGCATGCCAGAATTTGTTTCTATTTATTCAAATACAAAAAATTATAGAATAATTGATGGTATATCCATTAGGAGGATATAATGATTTTTGGAGCACAAAATGACAAAATAATCGCCAACACTTTTCCAAATGGCGCAAAAGTATGACGTCATATACTGTCCAATGTTTTGGAACGAATCACCAGTATAGCGTCGATTCATGACGTCATTTGCATTGGACAGTACACTGCGTTGTATTTCGGAACATACCCAATATTTACTACTAAAGAATAGGACTAAAAATGGCGTCACCTCTATTTATCATCGCTCGCACACTATCGCTATCTATACTCACACTCGTCGGTAGAGACTACTAAAACAATATGTTGCGATATGCGTTTTTCGTACGTGTTAAAACTTTAATCCGAATTGTTATTGGCATAAATGATAACCAAATACCATACACTAAAAAATTATTACACGGAATTTAATTTTCAAAGATTTACAATTACATAGAGTTTCTTGCCCATCTAACCTATTTGAAATACTTTATTAACTGTTATTCAAATTAATATAAATCAAATTTAAGAAATACATTATTTTATTTTATAGTCTTTGTAAATAATTTACTAATTTCAATTTTATCCAAGCGAAGCCAGTGCGGGTCACTGGTTATAAATGGTATTTTAAAATTGATGTGTCTACTTGTGTATATAATTCTATTTAAATAATTTAAGAAAATTTACAAATTAACCGAATGTTAGTACACTTAAAACTTAAAAACTAGGGGTTAGTAAATTATTAACACAAAAAAATAATTATTAAACATATTGGGTCTGGAACCCACATACATTGTGTTCCAGTACCTCATCCCATTGCAATCATGCCTTCCATATATGGAAGCTAGGAGGCCGTTGGTGCCGTCTCGCACGCGACGCATCAAGAAGGCTATTCTTTTGCGTAATATTACTGCGAAACTGTCCACGCGTGCCTCAGAAAACACACGCGGTGCGCTGCAAAAGCGTGGCAGCCCAACAACATCCTGAATCCATTGTTGTACTGAACACGTAGCGCATTGAGAATTCAGCGAGTAGACTTCGTCCACAGTCTGCAGGTGTAAAATGTCTGACAGTAAGCTTTGAATAATGTTATCTTAACTTCATTCGTACACCTACCAAACCTGCGGGCAAGCATATTACACCTCACTGCCAATGCTCTAAGTTCCCGTTCAACATCTAAATTGTCAGAAAGATCCTCGGCGACCCAGTGTCCCAGATATTTGAATTTGGTGACTGTACTCAGTGTAACTCCTCCTAGTCTAATATGAGGAACTTCTAATAAGGAAGAAAATCTAAGCCTGATTTTCTATTTCCAGCCTGAAACACGAGTAGTTTGCTCTTATTATAATTATATTTGAGACCATGAGCCACCGCGTACCTTTCACAGATGCCCACTAGCGTTTCGAGGGCCCTGATCGAAGGACTTAGCAAAACCATGTCATTGGCATAGCTTATATTATTAACAAAATGACCGTTAACTGAGCAGCCGACTCCGGCATTACTGAGCTCCACGATCAGACCATTGATGTACAGGTTGAAAAGTTAAGGAGAGTTAAGGCCGCCCTGCCTCACCCCGCAGTACAATTTGTACTCCGACGAATATGAGCCAGCCCACTTCACACAGTTAACTTGTATGTGATACCAATATTTGAAGAGGTTAATTACTTCTTTGGGTGTGCTAGTTTCCTGGTTAAGTTCCCCAAGGTTTCCCTGGCTAAGTATCCCATAGAACGTTGGACGTTGAAAGAGCCGTAGTAGCTCAGATGGTTAGCGCTCACTGTAAATTTTACAGTACACGAGCAAACCGGATTCGATCCCCGTCGGCACCAATGAAATTGTTAATTGCAATTTTAAGTGCTGATTTACCACGTGCTCGGCGGTGAAGGGAAACATCGTGAGTAAACCTGCGGAAGAGAAATAAGAAAAACAAATATTTCGAAGACATGTGAAGTTCGCCAACACGCATTGGGACAGCGCGACGGACAATTCCTTGTCCAAAAATCCTCTAAGAAATGAGTGGAGGCCTGTGCCCAGCAGTGGGACGTATATAGACTGTAACTTTTTTATAGAACGTTGTACGAAACCAGGTCAAATGCCTTCGATAGCTCCAAGGAACACGGGTAAACCGTCGTTTTTCGCGTAGTGTAATACTGGAAAGTATGCTTGAGTCGCAGTATGGCAGTTTCAATTGAAAGCCCCAGCCTAAAACCAAACAGCCTCATGTAGGTGAATGTGTTGACTGAGTTGCTGATCGAGCAAGCCGTCCAAAACCTTCGCAACAGCGGTAGCCAAAGATATTGGGCGATAATTGGACCCAACGGAGGCATCAGTAGTATTATTTTTTAATATTGGTACCACCATGGGTTTTATAAGCTCTCCAGGTAAGTACGCATGTCCTAGACATAGGTTAAATAATAGAGTTACACCCTTGGCAAGTGCACACCCGCATGTTGCAAGTGCTAAATGCTGAGGTCGTCGTAACCAGGAGACTTACCCCTAGTCATCCCACTTATTACACGAGCTATATCCTCAGTTTTAATACGGTGATATTCTCTACTTAATTCTTGTTCAGCACTAAGCACCTGCTGCGTCGACGCAATCGAAGATTGAACCTTAAAATATCTTTAAATAATTTAGCTATTTTACCTGGCTCATGTTGACCCTGGACGCTAGATGGGACACATAACTCTGTATCAAACTTTTTAGTGTGTTTCTAGAATGCCCTAAAGTCTTTTGACTTATGAAATTTGGCCAAAATGTCCTGTTTAATTTGTGTCTCATTATCTTGACACCACTTAAGTCGAGACTTAAAACGCTTTCTGGTCTCACATATTTTCATATAAACCGCCAGATGTATGTAGGTTTACCGTGTAGGATCCACATCTGGTCACAGGTTCGAGCTTCATTATGTATCTCCCTTACATGCCTGTTCCACCCCGCTATATTTTTCTTTTATTACAACGTACTTTATAACTATCTGCAACTTCCTTTAATACGTTAACAATAGAGCTATATAAAATATCAATATGTGCTTTATGATCCACATTACTACATATTTGATCAACGCAACATCTAAATACCTCAGGGAGATCGATAGTTTTTAATTTTCTGTTACAAATGTAACTAACGTTTTAATTAAAATAATAACGGTATACCGCTATTACCAGGTTTTCGTTATTTATATTGTGCATGTTGACGGTACGGGCTCGGTGAGCTACTATATATAATCCCATTCTTTATCCGTACGGGCTATATATATTTATATAGTTTTCTTTTAATTTAATTGGCATCCTATCATTTCTTTCGGGATCTTCATTTTTATAGATTTTTTCTTCACAATATGCTGATGCGCCACATTGTAAAGTTTTTGGGAGATTTTGACGACAGCTCAACCCAACGTGTAGTTGATGATGATAGTCTCAAAAGTTTATAAAGCGCCTAAACGACCCAAATAACTTGAGGTTTATATCAATATCGAAGCACTTGTTTCGTCATTTTCTCTAATACTTCACACGCGCAGACACTTAATTCACAAAATCGCATCACTTTTACCAATTAAAATATACTTCATACCATTATTTAAGCGATAAAATATCGAGAAACAATCCGTCGACGGCCAAGTTTAGGCCAAAAACTCTATTATTTATATAAGGAACATTTATTGACAAAGAGTATAGAAACGTAGTGTTTAGGCCAAAAACTCTATTATTTATATAAGGAACATTTATTGACAAAGAGTATAGAAACGTAGTGTAGTAAAAATTTTTGAAATGATTTTTTTAATTTTTCCAACTGATAAATCGGGACCTGCAATATTATTCGAATCTTACGAGATATCGATATCGGTTTTTTAGTTGATAATACGCCTATTGCACTACACTGAATCAGGGCCCTGAATTAAGAGTGGGCATGTCCCCTAATTCGGGACGTCGTTTATTGTACTACACTGATTTTACACCCTTACGCAGTCATAGGGATGGGCAAGTGAATTTTATTTAAAAAAATTAGTATATATCGTCATGTTTTCCAAAATTTTATAACTGAACATTTCGACGACGGAAAAA